CTGAAAACATTTTCTTATATCTGCAGGGTTTTCCATATATTTTCCATTAGATACAATATTTGTAATAGTGCTTTGCTTCTGTCTCTTTTTTAATTGCCAGGCCAACAATTTCCCACATTTATTTGTGGATTCAAAATTTCTCTGTTTCATCATTTTAATTTTCCATTCTATTTCCTGGTTAATAATTTGAGAAAATTGAATATGCAATGCTTTAATTTGTTTTGGAATCTGATGACTCTTTGGCATTAATCTTAAACTCTTCTCTTTGTCTTTTATTTGAGTCAGAATTTTCTCTTTTTTCTCATTCTGTATCTTTTTCTTTATCAAATTCTGTTGTATGAGGAAACCTCTCATTACTGCCTTACTTGCATCCCAAATGACTCTTGTTTCTTCCTCTGTATTCATATTTAGTTCAAAATAATCTTTTAGAGTCTTTTGGGCCTTACTAATCGTCTGTTCATTCCTCAACAACTCATCATTCATCCTCCATCTAAAGGAGCCCTGCAGGTATAATTTCATCTCCAAAAACACTGCATTATGATCTGGGCAAGTCTTAGGGCAAATTTCTGTTTTAGTGACCCTAGGAACCAAGTCTCTGGATATCCATAAATAAGCAGTTCTCAAGAAAGATTGATTTGAATTTGAGAAAAAAGTATAGTCTCTCTCCATTGGATTTCGTAGCCTCCATATGTCCGACAAATCGTATTTATCAGTCATATCAAAGAAAATCTTTGGTAATCTGCCGGAATTTGGATTTTTCTGTCCCTGTGTCTTATCCATTAATGTTGATGCTACTCCACTCAAATCTCCCATTAAAATCAATTTGTAATCCATATAATCCATGAGTTTTAAGTCCAGATTCTTAAAGAATTCCACTTTACCGTCATTTGGTGCATAAATTCCCAGCAAAAGAAATTTATCGCCTTGTTCCGTAATTTCACCTGCAATGTACCTCCCTTCCTCATCTTTAAACAGCAATTTGGGGTTCCATTTTTCTTTAACATAAAAAACCACACCTCTTTTTTTTTTACTTTGCCGGATGAAATAAATTCCTGCTCAGGTTTCTTATTTTGGAGAATATGAAGTCTTATAACATGTGTTTTCTGTAAACAGATTATATCCAAATTCTGCCTTGCCAATACATAAACTTAATTTCTTTTCCGACGTGAATTTAATCCATTTACATCCCAGGAGTAAAATTTCAAAAGCATCCTGATTTATTAGGGGCCGCCTGCCCCTGCCCCCAATGAAGGAGAACTTTCCAGTCCAAGCTCTTTTGCGTTTTTCTCCAGAAATCTTTCTGGGACTCTATGCACCCAATGATGGCAAAGCAGAATTCTTTAAGAACTTGGAAACAAGTCTTTTGGAACATTTGGATTATAAATTTTAATGGGAGATTTTAATGGAGTGGCATCTACTTTAATGGATAGAACTCAGAGACAGAAAATATTGAATGCTTGCAGACAACCTAAGCCTTTTTTTTGAAATAACTGATAAATTTGATCTGTCCGACATATGGAGAGTCAGAAATCCGACTGAAAAAGACTTCACATTCTATGCAGATGCAAACCCATCATTCTTGACAATTGATTATTTATGGCTATCCAGAGACTTGGTTCTTAAAGTATCAAAAGTCGAAATTTGCCCTAAAACTTGTTCAGACCCTAATGCAGTTTTTATGGAAGTGAAAATGTTCATAGAGGGATCTTTCAGATGGAGAATGAATGATGATTTGTTGAGGAGTGAACAAATTGTAAATAAGGCCCCATAGCCCTAAAGGACTATTTTGAGATTAATATGAACCAGGAAATGGAAACAAGGGTTATTTGGGATGCTAGCAAAGCAGTAGTGAGAGGTTTTCTCATTCAACAAAATTCAATCAGGAGAAAGATATAGAATGAAAAAAAGATAAAATTTTGGACCAACTAAAAGATAAAGAGAAGATCCTTAGAGGCAATCCAAAGAATTTGCAGATACAAAAGGAAATCAAAGCTTTACAGACCCATTATTCACAGATTATCAACCAAGAAATAGAATGGAAATTAAGAATGATGAGACAAAGGAATTTTGAATCTGCAAATAAATGCGGGAAGCTTTTAGCTTGGCAATTAAAAAAGAGGCAAAAACAAAGTACTATCACAAATATTGTATCAGAAGGAAAGTCTGTAGAGAACCCTGTGGACATAAGAAGATGCTTTCAGAAATACTACAAATAACTGTATAAAAAGGGTAAAGAAGATAAAGCTAAAATTGAGCAATTTATTAGAACTAATGGTTTGCAGAAGATACCAGAAGGTAAAAGGATCCTATTAAATGGACTAATTACAAGACAGGAGGTTGAAAACGCAATAAATTTAATGCAATTGGCAAGGCCCCGGGACCAGATGGGTTATCAGCAAAATATTATAAGACTTTGAAAGACTGGCTTATTCAGCCATTGTTAGAAGTTTGCAATAAGATTATAGGAGGGGACAAAGCACCCAAAACCTGGAAGGAAGCTTATATTACTCTGATTCCAAAACAAGATCAAGATAGATTGAATGTTAAAAATTATAGACCAATTTCACTACTTAACGTGGATTACAAAATTTTTGCCAATATATTGGCCAATAGGCTCAAGAAGGTCTTGTCACAATATATACATAAGGACCAGGCAGGTTTTCTGCCTGGAAGACACATGAAGGATAATATCAGGAATATAGTAGATATTTTGGAAAAATTGGAAGCAAGAAAAAATTGTAAAGCAATGTTAATGTTTATTGATGCGGAGAAGGCCTTTGATAATGTATCTTGGAATTTTATGACACAAAATTTAGAAAGTATTGGGGTTGGTCAGGAGTTCTTAAATGGTATCAATGTGATCTACTACGAACAAAAAGCTAAAATTATTGTAAATAATGTGGTATCGGAGGTAATTAGAATTGAGAAGGGTACCAGGCAAGGGTGCCGACTTTCCCCTCTGCTTTTTATTTCTGTCCTTGAGGTCTTGTTAAGTATGATAAGGAAAGAAGAACAATTTAAAGGTATAATAGTAGGATCCAAACAGTATAAATTAAAAGCCTTTGCTGATGACTTGGTGTTGACACTTCAAGATCCAGACTCCAGTGCAATAAAAGCACTGGAGATGATACAGGAGTTCAGGCAGGTAACAGGATTTAAGTTAAATAAGAGCAAAACCAAAGTATTAGAGAAAAATCTGGACAATGAAGAAAGGAAATTATTACAAGAAATGACGGGCCTAGTCTTTGTGAAAAAAGTCAAATATCTGGGGGTTAATTTGTTGGTGAAAAATTTGAACTTATATAAAGATAATTATGAGAAATTATGGAATGAAATTAAAAGAGATCTGGAGATTTGGTTGAATTTAAGATTGTCATTAATGGGCAGGATTTCTGTGGTTAAGATGAATGTATTGCCAAAGATGTTTTTGTTTCAAGCCCTCCCAATTACTGACAATGTGAAATGTTTTAAAGAATGGCAGAAAATTTTATCTAGATTTATCTGGCAGGGGAAAAAACCCCAGAATTAAGTATAAACTACTAACGGACTCAAAAGAAAGAGGGGGATTCTCCCTGCCAGATTTGAAAATTTACTGTATTTTTCGCTCCATAAGGCGCACCTGACCATAAGGCGCACCTAGTTTTTAGAGGAGGAAGACACACAAAAAAAATATTCTGAATCAAATGTTGTACTAAACTATTTAAAGCAGCAAAGCGGGTGGCTCCTGTCCGCTTTGCTGCTTTAAAGCGAGCCTCAGAGGAGGGAAGGAAGGGAAACCATGGCTTATCTAAGTCCATTTAATAATGCTGAGCCTGACTTTATATGCAACTGAAAGCCCTTGACATATATACATTATAATGACAAGCCGAGACAGGCCTCCTGCAGAGGAGGAGGGGAGGGAGCCATCATAGCTCAATGGGGAGAGCATGGAGAAGATCCCAGTCCTTGAAAGCTTCTCCAGGTAGGACTGAGGGTGTGTCTCCTGAAACCCTGGTGAGCCTCTGCCCATCAGTGAAAACAAACTGAGCTCAGTGGGCTCAGGGGTCCTGACGTGGTACAGGGAAGGTCCCTCTGTTCCTGTTTAAATTAGCCATTTCTTCAGAACCATGAGGACTACAATCTTAGTTTGTTTTTAAAGGGAACAGCTATAACCTCAGTGGCTTTGCATGCAGAACACCACACGTTCAATCCCTGTCTTCTCCAGGCCTGAAACTCTGGCAAACTGCTGCCAGTCAGTGTAGACATTACTGAGCTAGATGGAGTAGTGGGTCCAACTCCGTATAAGGCAACTTCCTAGGTTCCCATTTATGCTTCAGATCTGGGCGTGAGGCATGCTGTCACGTTTAGTGTCAAGGGGGTGGTTCTTTGCACATCTGGAAGACGACTGTGTCACCTCCCATCACCCTATTGAAAGTGCTTTTACAGCTCAGGGAAAAGGGCAGGCAGCCACAGCATCTGTAGACTGTAGCATCCTGAATTAAGGGAGGGAGGGATTCCCCTTGCAGCCAAAGGATAGTTTGAGGCCACCACGAAAGAGCTGATCTTAAGCTTGAAACCAGGACTTGCTCTTTAACCATGCTGCTCCTCCAGTTGCCAATGCCATCCATGTAACCTGTGTAACCTGTGTGACTATCAAGCGTGTGTTGTGTCCAGGAACCTGGGAGGATTTCTTTCACATGTGTGCATGTTTTCATCTTTAAATAAACAGCCCATGCCTGGCTGTCTCAGTGGAAATCTGGGGAGGCTGAGGTGGACTTTCCAGTGGTCAAAGTCTTCCTGCCCGGCATCTATTTCCTGCTCTCTTTCCCCACTGAACCCCTGCACCCTGCTTCAAAGCAAGCCATGGAGGGGATTCCCTCTGCTTTGAAGCAGGAAAGTGGGAGAAGAGCTGCTTACACGAGTGTAAGCTGCTCCCCTCCCACTTTCCTGCTTCAAAGGGAGCCAGGGAGGAAGGAATCCATTGCAGCCTCGAGCAGAGGATCCATGGGTCCCCTTCCTTCCCTCCTCCGTAGTTGCTTTGAAGCAGGAAAGTGGGAGAGGAGCTGCTTATACGAGTGTAAGCTGCTCCCCTCCCACTTTGCTGCTTCAAAGGGAGCCCGGGAGGAGGGAATCCGCTGCAGCCTCAAGCAGCGAGGAGGATCCATGGGTCCCCTTCCTTCCCTCCTCCGTGGTTGCTTTGAAGCAGGAAAGTGGGAGAGGAGCTGCTTACACGGGTGTAAGCAGCTCCCCTCCCACTTTGCTGCTTCAAAGCGAGCCACGGAGGAGGGAGGGACCAACAGAATCCCTTTCCCTCCCTCCTCCCCAGCTCAGCTCAGCAGCCGCAGCTCTTACTGGCTTTACAATGAGCCTGAAGGAGGGACAGACGGCAGTCCCTCTTTCCGCCTCCTTGTAAAGCCAGCCAGAGCCACAGACACGCTCTACGCAGCTCTTGCTTTAAAGGGAGAGCTGCGCAGAGCTTGTCGACAGCAGCGGCTCTTGCTGGCTTCGCTCCATAAGATGCACAGACATTTCCCCTTACTATTTAAGGGGGGGGGGAAGTGCGTCCTATGGAGCAAAAAATACAGTATTTTGAAGCCGCAGCCCTTTGCTGGGTTAAGGAATGGATACTGAAGGAATGGGTTTCTGTGTAGTCAGTTTGAAACGGACCCCAAACCCCCCTTTTCTTCTTTCTCCAAGGGAGCATTTCTAAAATGCATTAACTTGAGCTGTTGAGCAAAATGCATAACAAGAACACAGCTGTATAAACCCATTCCTTCAATACAACTAGATAATGTGGATGTTTTAGATTTGGAGGGATTTGACAATGTGTTTGGTTGGCATGCATATCTATGGTATGACAAGATAAAGGCCCATAACGGCTTTAAAAATCCTGTAATTAGAAAATCCTTATATAATGTTTGGATAAAATACAAAGATCTCTTAGAAAGGAAAACACCCAGATGGCTTTCGCCAATGGAGGCAAAGGCCCAGAAAAAGTTAAATATGGAAACCAAATGGTTGAGATATTCAGATTTGCTATCAGAAGATAAAGAAGGATTCAAATTAAAACCATTTGATCAAATTAAAGATAAAATAAATTGGTTACTGTCAGGGAACTGACATCGGAGCGAGAGGCGAAGGGGAGGCTCCTAGATGATGCTGGCGAAGGACCCAGCAGCAGGGGGAAAAACAGCTCAGTAGAGGGGGAAGCATTTAAGCGCAACACCAGGGATAAAGGGGGGCAGATGGGGGAATCGGAGAGAGGGCTCCAGGACTCTTCACTGGACCTCAGTGAAGAGGGGACAGGTCCTCCGCTACCCACGCCCTCCCTGCGCAGAAGACTTCTGCGCAGTGAGAGGAGGAGGAGACTGGGTGTCAAACAACTTTTATGTTGGAAGAGGTTCAAGAAACGCCCACTGACGGATTCTGCCAGCAACTGAGGCAGTCACCATGAGAAAGGGCTGTGCAGTCAGAAAGGTTTAACAAGGCAAATTAGCCTAGAGAGGCACCAGTTTATGCACGAGTAACTCATACTCACTACAGTTACATTACCATCAGATTAATGAACTGTATAAATTAGATAAGAAAAATTGTTTTGCTTCGTTGGAAACGGAGTTGTTGGATTCTAAAGTTAAAAATTTGTCTAAAATGTATAATCTATTGTTGGAATGGCATACAAAGGACAAACAAGTTATATCCGTGACGATAGATTGGGCAAGAGATGTGGGACATAATATAATGTTTGAAGACTGGGAAAGGTTGTGGAGGAAAGGGGTCAAGTTCACTGCATGCACGGTGTTAAAGGAAAACATTATTAAGGAAATTATTAAGTTTAAGGAAAATGTTATGAAAATGATGTATAGATGGTACTTAACCCCTGTAAAATTAGCAAAGATATATTAGTGATAATCTATGCTGGAAATGTAAAGAAAAAGAGGGTACCTTTTATCATATGTGGTGGACCTCTGTCCCAAGGTGAAAGACGTCTGGGAGAAGATTTATAATGAATTGAAAAAAATGTTGAAATATACATTTATTAAGAAACCAGAGGCCTTTCTTCTTGGAATAACAGGCTTGGAATTCCCCAAAAAAGATGTTAGATTGTTTTTGTATGCCACAACTGCAGCTAGAATTTTATTAGCTAAGAACTGGAAAACACAAGAAGTGCCGACAGTGGAGGAATGGCAGATGAAGATGATGGACTTTTTGGAGCTAGCTGACCTGACTGGAAGAGTCCGCAACCAGAAGGAGGAGGAGCACTAGGAGGAATGGATGAAATGCAAAGACTATTTACTTAAATATGCTAAGATAATTTAAACAGAAATACTTGCAAATAACAGATAGGTTTAGGATTTAAACATGTGATGTTATAGAATAATATGTTTAAAGTAAAGATGAAAAGAAAGAAAGATGTTAAGCGAGTAAGTAAATTTTATGAGAAACTTGTTTTGGAAAACTGTTACAATTATATATACTGAAATTCAGCCAGGGGGATATGAGGAAGTCACTTAACAATGTTACTAAGAGTGGACTAAGTATAGTTAGGATTTATGTTTGTTTGTGTTTATAAAAATTGGAAAATCAATAAAAAAATTTGGGGGGAAAACAAAAAACTGAATTTGCTATTAACAGTTTGCAAAAGAGTCAGAAGTAGCAGTTATACAAATTACACAAAATCTACTGTAATTCTTACATTAGTATAAAGTGATTTCACCAAAGGAATTATTTTAATATTTCACATTAGTTAAGATACAAGGGGTGTGTCAAATACACAAATGAGAAACCCTTGCTATAATAACCTAACCTAGATTACACACAACAGTTTTAAGAAAGGATCTTTTAAGAGATCTATATCTGTAACGTGTTATTTTAAAAAGTAACACACTTGCAGCAGCATCTCACAGCCTTCACTTAGAGCGGATCCACTCTCTGAGCGCCCCTGCAAATGGCCAGCAGAAATCATGAAGCGTCTTCCTAGGAAGGCTCAACTCTCCCATTTAAATTGGCGAGGCACCTCTTGGTTTCGTCCGAGACAGAAGGTTCAAGTAATACTACGCTGGGATGGCTTTTCTGGGAGCATGTCGATCAAGTGCTGGAGGTCCACACATGCATCTGTTTTGCTAGCTGGTGCACATAACCAATGTCAGGTCTCTGGTAAGGATCTGGGTATATGCACATGCTGACCAGCTCTCGCAACTGCAAGGGGGAAAACAGAGGACCATGAGACACACCCTGCCGCCCATCGCCATGCGCACCTGCCTGGTGGTGCAAGACGGGCCAATTCCCATTTGAAGGCACCCAAAGCCTTCCACTGCCAGCCTATGAATAAAGTATTCTAACATCCTTGAGTTCTAGAGTAGAACTTGATCAGCTCCATGGATTTTAAGACAGTTTAAAGACAAAATATATGCATGCACACACACTCACAGATGCTCAAGTTAGAGAGTAGCACACTTGACTGGGGATACCAACATTTTAGATGCAGGTTTCAAAATTCCCACACTCACTGTTCAATACTTATTAGTCCAACCTCACCTCCCTTTCCCTCTCTAATGGGCCTGGGCATACCATCAGAAAATGGCTCAGGCATTCAGGTTTTGCAGTAGTTGACAGTATTGGAAAATATCCTATGAAAGAAGTATATATCTACCGAGAGAGGTCAATGTGAAAGCCCTCATTAGCAATAATTGCCATTCCATTAATATTCTGTGTTTGGTGGTGAAGAGAATGGCATGTTGAGGTTCTGGCTCGAGAGGAAGCCGAGCCAGGACCTAATGAATATTTAGCTAACCTTCCTGTATGTACAACTGGAATAGCTGGGTATATGCCAAACTCAGAGCAGCCCCCCCACCCCGATGTTGATGGAATCCCAACCAACCAACAATGCCAATGGCCAGGGATGGTGACAACTGTAGTCCTAGAAGGCACCAAGCTATGGCAGTGAAACCCACCTGAAAGTGAGAATGAATTACAATGCAGAAGTAATTATTCAGGAGGGTGAAGCAGTCTAATGGAATCGCACATAGATATCTCACTTGCATACCAGCGGACGGGGTAGATAGAGAAGTCTACAGATAACCTCACTGAGCCAGTCCCTGGCGGTGGAGGCTGTGTAGAGCACAGGAGAATGAATCACTCTTGCAGGCGCTCCTCCCTATATCAAAGCTTTTTGCTTGTTAGCTTAGAGCCAGGCTATGCTGGCTGGGACTGATGAGAGTTACAGTTCAAGACATCTGGAGGGCATCAAGTTGGCAAAGGTTGAATCAGACTGGATATCCTGACAGCGAAGTGTAGAAAACAGCTCCAGTTCCCACCCCTTTTCACTTTGCATTTGAAAGACGAGCGTTTAATTGCACAGCCCCTCAAAGCAGCTTAGACACCCTATGGCAAGAGAGGGAGAAAGAAAGAAAGAAAGAAAGAAAGAAAGAAAGAAAGAAAGAAAGAAAGAAAGAGCCTTGAGCCTCTGAACTTCTCCCATCCTGCCAGTAGCAACAGACTCAGTCCATCCCACAATCAGGCCCCATGCATCAGACAGAGATCCACGCAGGAGTAAAAAGGGCGGTTTCCAGCCAGCAAGAGGGTCAATTGAAGATGGTTTCTGATGGTTGCAGAATGCCTTCTGTACTTTTGTCAAATGCAAACCAGTCATGAGCCTTTCTACACTACTGAAAGAGAATAACCAAGCCCCTCCCCCCCCCCGTCTGCATGTCCTCAAAGGAAGCCATTCGTGTAACTAGGAAGGGAGAAACTGCTGGCATGGAAGGAGTTTTGTCAGGAATTAAGGAGCCACTCCAGACAGGGCTGCCTTGTCTTGTTCTGCTCCGCTCATCCAACGTCTCTCCTGAAAGGTAGGTCACCTGCACCACTGCCCCTCGCAAAGACAAGATCCTATAGCCACCGCCAAATATCACTTCCCAGTCTCCTCTGCCTCTTCTTCAGCAAGGCACCACAACTTCACAGCACAGACTCCCCCCATGAAGCATTTTCCTGACCCACACAGACTGAATCATTATGGAGTGCCAACTCAGTACTCCAGAGACTAAATGTTTACTGACATGGCTAGGAATGTGTGTAGGGGTGTGTGTGTGTGTGTGTACTGGTGCAGTTTCACACAACGACAATTCACCCAGTGTGCTGGCCTGTTGCATGCAAATGCACCATTTGGAATGGAGTTCTCTGGGACCTGCCACTTTTATTTAAGCTCTCAACCATCCTCCTCGTGCTGAATTGTATCACTAGACTGCACACTCTCTTTAGCACTGCCAGAGGGAGGCAAACCGACAGTAATTGGAAAGACAGGAAACATATCTGTCAACTTGCACTAATTCCTGCTGCCAGAAGGCAGATTCCAAGAAGCTGGAGCAGCAGCAAGGCAAAGGGGAAGACAATGAACCTGGCTGGGCCACAGGAGTGGTCTGCAAGAAGGAACCGTGCTCAAGCAGCCAGAAAGTTGCCAGGAGGGGCCGGCATGGCTGCATCAACACTCCTGCGCATCAGCAATCTAACACCGGGAAGGGGAGAGGAAATGCAGGCACTTGTCCAAAGTAGGACCAGCAGCAGCCAGGGTCATTTAGCATAAGCCTTGCAGTGTGGAAAGGGATGTGCGTGACCAGTTTCCTCAGAGAGGCAGCCAAGGAGCTGCGTATGACAGCCGGGGTGGAAACTCTGTGCCAAAAAATGCCACAGCCTACAACTTGGACATTGTCCAAGACCTGGGCCAATGTGCATATTGATGTTCCTTCTGTTCTGAAGAGGAGGACACACTCTGCCCCCAGCTCCTCCCAGTTTCTGTATTAGCAAAAGGGTCAGCCTTCCAGCTAAGCAATACTCCTGACTTAGCAGCCAAGAGAAGCAGTGCAAATAACTGCAAATTTTGCAACAAGCTGATTGGAATGCTCAAGACTGCCTGCTCCTGGTGCAAAGCCTGCCACAACTCATTTCACCCCACACCACCACATCAAACTCTCAGCAACCTATACACAAGATCCCAGTGCATTCATGGTGATCTGCTTTTTACACACTCAGAGAAAAAAACTTGCTGGAAGACTGGTCACCTTGCTACCCATAAAGTGTGTGTGTGTGTGTGTGTGTGTGTGTGTGTGTGCGTGTGTGTGTGTGTGTGTGTATGTGTGTGTGTGTGTGTGTGTGTGAGAGAGAGAGAGAGAGAGAAATTCAGAGCTTGTTCCTTGTGCCCCTTCTCTGGCATTTATGCCCACCCCCACTTCCATTGCCAAACAAGCAGGTTCATATTTCCTTAAAATTTTAATCAAGACTACAGAAGCTATTGGTGCGGGAGGCAGCAGACTTCTGAAAGCACACTTGGCACCTGTGCTTGATGAGTGGACATTCAACAAGCAGGTCTTTCATCTGCCCTGATTTCATCACTTGCTTTCCAACTCCAAAGGGTTAATATATTTGTTTAAAAGCTGCAGAGGCGCACCTGTGTTGGGAGCACAAACACCTATCGGACTACAGAATGTATGGTGAATATGTGTGTGGTGATGCACTACTGCTGCTGTTGTGGTGAGTGTTAGGTTTCTGTTGTGCCACTGTGCAGTTTTTGGAGTCACAAGACTCTATTGACATTCCAGACTGCTGGAAGTCTCACTGGAGACGGGAGACAGATGTTGATGTTACTGGTTTCCTGTTTCTTTGTTCCTGTTGTTTCTCTCTCACAGAGAGAGCAGTCGCATATTCTTTTCTCTCCTGCGTAGTTAGGAATAAACGTAGCAATGTAGCACATTTCTAGGCTCCTTCTGCTGTTTGGATACTCTGCGTAATGGGGGAGCGTGCCTAAGCCTCATCAAAGGCTTAGGTCGTTAATCAGCGTCGGAGGAGAGCCTAGATGGATTCCGAAGAACGGCGAAGAGGAGAGCCATTACAGCTCGGTCGTACGGAACCTCCGACAGATCAAACAACGGAGGAGCTTCCCATCCTTCTTGCACCGCAGTACAAAGGCGTGTGGATTTTTTTGCCCTCCTACTGGACACTTCAAGTACGTGGGTTGCATAAAACGTAGTAATTTCTAATGTGGCTATTGCAGTAAAGTGATTCTTTTCAGTGTGTGGGTGCCAATACAGCTCCTTGCCAAGGGCGCAGGGGACCCTAGGTATGCCTCTGGAAAACTGGCAGGAAGGAACACTGTTGACGAACCTCTCCCACCAGGTGCTCCTTCCATTCATTCTTAAAACATTGCATTTCACAAATGATAAAGCTCAAAGCTTATGCTGAGATCCCCTGAGGGCTATACTTGGTCTAAAGTGGTCCAGCATTTGACAGGCTAGTTTTTAGCAGATGCCATGGGGCAACTTGCAGCACATTTTAGCCCAGTCACACGATGCTGTGCACTAGAGAAGGAAAACCAAGCTTTAGGCATCAAGCTTTAGGCCCATCCTGCTGCCTCAGCACTGCTCTGCTTTTCCTGAGCATCTCACTTGCTGCTTTATGGTATCTGATTAGAAAAAGTATCTGAATATGCAGCTGTGTAAGCAGGAAGGCATTTCTCCCTTCTGAAAAGGCTTTGAGGATGTGCCAAGGCAGTTGCCTGAAGATGCTCCAATCTTGAGCTCCCTGCCATTTGTGTGTGTGGGGGGGGGGGGATGTCGGAACCTGCATTTGACCGAGCTCCTCTGAGCTCCTCTGGAATTGCCTGCGACGTGATTAACGACTTGAGCCTCTAATAAGGCTCCAGGCACATTTCCCATTACGCAGCGTTTCAAAGCAGCATGAGGAAGGACGAGATAGTATGAGCTACATCCCCAGGTTTTATTTTCTAGGCTACGCAGACAGAAAAGAAATACATCCTCGCTCTTTGAAAGCAGAGAGCAACTGGAACAAACAAAGGAGCAGGAAACCAGTAACGCCACATCCGTCTCCTGTCTTCCGTGAGACTTCCAACAGTATGGAATCCCAGGAATGTAAACAGAGTCTTGTGACTCCAAAGCACTGCACAGTGGCAACACACAGAAACCAACAGGGTGTTCCTTCCATTCAGGGCCCAAGAGACTGTACAGCTGAAGTTACCTTGTCAGAATAATGTTCGGTTGAAAGAGGGGGGTAATCACAGTGCTCTATCTTTTGGCAGAGCGAAAACAGGTTCATTTTATCACCATAGAAGGGTCTCTGGAGACCTGCCATCTAGAAAGAAAATATTGGAAAATGAGTGACACAGGAGAAATGTTCAGGGAGAACCAACTGAAGTTCGCATGGGTCTGCTGCTTGGCAGTTGTACCCAAGTTGGTTGTGACCATTTTCACAAGCACAACTTGGAAACTTGCCAATAAATGGGTGGCTCTTCCAGGAGGTTCTATTTTTATTTTTTTAAAAATAATATTTATTAATAGTTTCAGAATTATAGAAAAAAAGAGAAAAATAAAAAACAACACTACAATGCATAAAAAAGAAGAAAAAACACAAAAACCAATACAACAATACAGCAAAAAAATAAAAAAGAAAAAAGGAAGGGGGAAAAAAAACAACCACAAATCCCAAATTACATATCTTTAACTTCCATTTGCTTGTTTCATTGACCTCCTCACACCTCCCTTTTTGTATTCTAATTTAATTAGTTATTTCAGCAAATTCTTTCCATCTTTCTCAATTTTTGTTAAAAATTTATCTTAACAATTTAACCTAATAATTAGCTCAACACATCCTTTCCATCTTTCCCATATTCTGTTATTCAAATTACCTTAATTTATTTAACCTTATCTTACCATAAAATACCTTAAAGCTTGAATCTTAATTCTCAAATATACATAACTCCTAATAACCTTTCTGCTAGAGTCATATAGTTTCATTCCAACATTTTCCCTAATATTCATTGATTTTAAGCTAATTCCCTAAATAAATAAAAAATTCTTTATAAATTTTCTTCCCATCTTCATCCAACGTCTCTTCTTCCTGGTCTCGGGTCGTGTCAGACCTTACTGTCCATTCCATCTAGTCCATCAACCTGGAAGTCTTATTTCCGAGGCCCTTAAGTCTCTTCCATGTCCCTTCTGCAGATTTTCTTCTTCTTGTTTATACTTGCCCTTTTCCTTGTCTTTTGTTGGTCTCTTTCTTAATTTCTTTCCTTTCTCATTGAGGAGTAGGTCTCTGGGGGGTTCCAACCCCAAATTGTCTCCATCTCCCTTCATCAAACCCGCCCATTCCCCACAGTCCCACTCCCCACAGTCATCGATGTAATCCAAAAAGTATTTAAAAGCATATTTCAAGGTCTCTCCACAGTTAGGAACCTCCTCAGCTCCAGACTCCCCCTGGCCCGCTCCAACTTCAATCTTCAATGACAGCGGCTTATGCTACTGTAGGGCCTCGGCTCTCTCCATTTGTATTATTTGAGGTGCAACCGCATCCTCCTCCGTTATCTTCTGCACTTGCTCAGTCAGTACAGGATCATGAGTTGGTCCCTGAATGGTTTCTGTATCAATGTTCCCTGTTTGTCCACAGTTATTAACCACAACAGTCATCAAGTCCATTTTCTCATTCATCGAATCCATCTTCTCGTGCATCTGTTCCAGCAAGGCACTTGTCTTGCATAAAGCAAGCACCCAATCTTCCTTCCAGCTCATATTTAGTCAAGGTCAGAAAAGACTGGTCCCACGATCTTAATCTCACAGCTGTTGAGTCCTCAAGTATTCTACAGCAACAATTTAACAAGCTCCCTCTAGAGGAGACAATTTCTATTTGTATCCATTTTTTTTTTTTAAGGCAAGTCCAACAAAGGAAAATTACTTTCATTTTTCAGATATTTTTCAGATATTTTGTTTCTTTAGAATGCAAAAGGCAACACTGGAATCAGTTTGTTTCTCTTCTTTAGCTATCTGTCAAAGTATTCCATTCACAGTCAATGAACCTCTCCGACTATTTCTGTCTCTGACACCCCGTTCCCAGGTTAGAGACGGTGGAAACTTATCCTTCTTCACTCCCTCTCCTGCAGGGGTTAAACAAAGTCCCCCCCCCTTTTCTCCTGCTTCCAAGGGGGTTTCAGTAATTCTAAACGAAGGAAATTTAGACTTGTTAAACGGCATTCCAGGCTTTAGCTTACAAAGTTTTTGCTTTAGTCTATATACAAAAAAGCGGAAGGCGGACTTCCTGTTTTGAACCTTCCCGCTTCGATGCCAAATTAAGATATTTCTTGATCCAATTTTCCGTTTCTGCTCACGGGTACTTGTTTTAGATCCAATTGTCCACAGGAAAAAGTCAGTGCTCTCCGGCAATGGCTGTGCGGCTTCACTCCATGAAAATAGCAATCAGTTCGCAGCACCGCGCCGCTCCCCCCACTTTGCTCCGGCGCCCCAAAATGGGGTTCCCGGTGAGTAGGGGGGCGCGCTCCTGGTGCCCTGCCGAACCCCACGTTCCCAGGCTTCCTCCGCCTGGGATTTCTAGCGGGTCCCCACCTTCGCCGCGGCGGGAAGACCCAGTTTCCACAGAGCCCGTTCCTCCGGTCGGAGGAACTCCGCCATTCACCGATGGCGCTGACCCGGAAGTCCCCCTCTTCCAGGAGGTTCTAAGGACTAAACCATTACAAATGAACTTCTTGAGGTGTCCTTGGCTACTCCCCAGCATTGCATTGGGATGGGCCATTGCTACCTTTACCTCCTACTAGCTCCCCATCCTTCAACCAACCAAGGTCATGAAGCAGGAACAGTACAAAACCCACAGCGCCATCCGGAAGGGGGGGCCACCAAGGGGCGCATTGGAAGATGGCCGACAATAACATCTCTCTGACCCACACGAGGTAATTAAGAGGCTGATATGGGAGTATGCAGCCTCCCTTGCCCCCCAAGGGAATGGGGGGCACTGCCTTGCCTGCTGTGTCCATAATTCACCCCCGGATTCGAAAGAAGGGGGTGAGGGCACTAGGCACGAAGCCCTCGGGTGGGTCTGGCTCTCCTGGACGCTGTCTCTGAGCGCGCACTGGTTTGCATCAGCTCAAAATGTATAATTGGAAAAGAAGCAAATGCACATATTTCAAGTGAAGACCGGGAGTAAAGACTGCTAACTAAAGGGATCTCTGTGATGTGGAGCGATGGGCTGGATTCAATAATAAATCAAGAAGAAGTCTCATCAAAGGATCAGTATGTCAGAGTGAGACTGAAAAGGGGGGGGGGACTTTTTTTTTTTGGTCTTATGTGAGTACCCAATAACCCTCCCTCCTAAGAAAGAATTGTTGCAAATTACTGATTACAAGCAGGACGATTAAGAACTGTGTGGAAATTAACTACTAATCAAAGATATGGCTTGTGGAACATCAAGAAAAGAAAGAAGGTTCTCTGTGACGCAGTTAGAAAAAGAGGCTGTTATGGCAGATCTGTCCGCAGAAGGAGGGGGAGGAGGACTATGGCTTGTAACTATATCAGAATGTGAGTTCGGCCTGGCAGGGCCCCCTGAAAAAAATTTATGAGACCGGCAGGTCTGTGGAAAACAGAACAGACTGTGGGAATTGTTTTGTACGGAGTGTTGAAATGATGTCTGTTTATATTGATATGGCTCTTGGACGAACGTAAAAGCCACACAGGATATAACAATGTTTGTTTTCAACCCGCTTGTGGAAACTATCAGAGATCACAAAGAAAGGAATATATGATAACAACAAGAAGATGAGGAAAACAACAAAGAGAAGATTGAATAGAACTGTGACTATTATTTGGACAGAACTATGTCATCAAAGCAGCAGCAAGAGAGATCTTTGGATCCCGTTCGAAGCTGGAAATATGGGTACCCCCAACAAAAATTTAAAAATTCCTGGCTATGTAATTTGGAATTGATGTGATTTGGAATTAATGTGATTGAAAATTATTTTCAAAAAAAACACAACAAAAACCCACAGTGCCATCCAAAAAGCAGGGAGGACAACTAGTCGTTTTCTAGTGAAAACTATTTACCTCCAGCAGCTGTCCCCTCTTCAGAGAGCTGGGTCTGCAGCCACTCTGTTCTCGAGACAGAGACCACCACTGGCTCTGACAAACAGGAAAAGGTCCTGCGGCTGCCGTCTCACAACAGAGCATCCTGGTAGGGTAGCTCATGCTCAGCCAGATGCCATCAACTATGACTGCCTCCCATAACATCTTTCTGGCTCTGACATTACAAATAACATTTTTCCCACCTCTATGTGCACCTTCCTCCAAATTGCTTCATATGCAGACTTTGTAAGTATCTCTGAGCCACAGGTTTGGTCTGAGAAGAGCAAGTGCAAACTTTACTGCCAATGGTAAAGACTCATGCTTCATGCTGATGGAAACATTTTGTGTTTGATTCATTCAAAGGGCAAATTATAACTTTGTTTACTGTACAGAGAGATCCAGCTTCTTACATAACAGCCCTGTCACTTTTTTGGTCCATTTGGTTGCAGAAGAGACACTTGCCCTGCACACGTGAAACATTTTATGCAGGCTTGGCAGAAATGTAATGCAACATTGCAAGTGTCTGCTGGACAGCCAATCCCACAGCCCTTATACATTCAAAGCAATTTATAACTTACAACATCAGATATGGCAGAGGATAATCCAGCTGGATATTTTGTTAATTCACCCTCAGCAGCTTTTAAAAATTCTGGGCTTGCTTCTTTCATTCACAAACCCAACCACTAAAAACAAGCAGTGTGGCTGACTGTAAACACACGCAGAAGAGTCAAGCAACAAGGCTAATGGCATGAAAGGGCCTTTCAAAACAAACAAACAATGGGTTGCATCCAACTAAGCCCTACTCAAGAGTCAACCCACTGGAATTAATGAATCCAAGTTAACCATGCTCATCAACTTCAATAGGTCAACTCTGAGTAGGACTAGCATTACATACAGCCCCATGTCTCTTCAGTCAAATCCTGCTTCCTATTTGAAACTCTTTCCCAACCCCCAAAAATATGTAAATTCTAGAAGTTGACCTGAACTTCAGCAGGACAGAAAAGCAGCTCAGCCATTTGCTCAACTTCACAAAAGTACAAAAGCAGCAATAAGAAGCCACTGTGCACCCCACTACCTTTTCTTCTTCAGGCATAGGAGCAAGCAAATACACACGCACACACACAACGTGCCCCCAACAACACGCTCAGCAGAAGCATGAGGCCAGCCCCCTTCGCCTCCATCTCCAGGAAAAGAGCCAAAGACACACACACACCCCGCTCCCCATTTACATCCGGCTCTAATAAGGTTGGTCTTCAAAGTGAGTGCCGCCAGTGAGTGGCACAGAGGCTCGGCAAGCGAGAGCGGCGTCACCTCAGCATGCGGCCCCCACGGAGCCCCAGCTGCTTATTAATCCATAATGCAATTCAAGGGCTCCCTGGCACTCTCGCTGTCACAAGCTGCCCCTCCACAATGAAATAATCCTCTTCCTAATGAAGCACTATTGGATAATTGTGGATATTATCTACTCTGGTTAGAAGATCTTTTAAAAACCATTTTGCCGCATGCTGCGGCAGATCGGCAAAGCCACCGTTCTTTTTATTTGTGTTTGCGGAGCCTCAGCTCTGAGCCACTGTTTTAATAGGGAGGGTCTATTTGAAAAGTGTTAAGCCTTTTGCTCATTATCATGCACAGGGGGTAGCGACCTAAAGAAATCTGCCTCTTGGCAGGCGATCAGCAATCTCCCAGCAAAGGTTGTTGTGGTTGTGGTTGTGGTTGTGGTTGTGGTTGTGGTTGTGGTTGTGGTTGTTGTTTTTAATGCAGTGAGGAGGAGGCGGGAGAAGTTACTCCAAGGCACTTCTCACTCATTTAATACTTTTATAAACAATATTGAGAACACAGACAAATTACCAATATCCATTTGGGCAGTTTAGAAATTTGGCAGTGAGGCAGAGGTCCCTTGATTTATCCATTAAGAAAAGGTGCCCAAATCAAACTGGATTTCCATGATATTAAAACTTTGTTTCCTCAACAGCACAGCTTTAGTCACAGGCCTGACTTCTGCTTAATACACCCTTCCATGTGTGTGTGTGGGGGGGGAGGCACCCACCCCAGGGATGTGTTGGGAATGGGGAGTCAGCCATTGACTCCACTGAGGCCCACTGAACACAGGCAGCTCTCCAACCCCTCCAGTGCAGACTAGCTATTCAAAACCCCTTTGCCCAAACAGGGGCCTGCACCAAATCCCCAGCCAGCCCCACTTTATGTGGGGATCGTATCCTGAGAGATGGCTGCAGTGGCAAATCTGAAAACACAACCGCAAGACTCCCAGCAGTTCTAGTCAGCCCTGTTTCCCCATTCTTGTCATCTACGGACAAGGGCAGCCTATCTGAGGCACTGAGCAAGAGCCCCCCTCACTCCCGTGACTGGAATGGCCAAGGTGGCTGGCTGAGGTCACATTTGAAGGTTTCGTTTTGACATCTGGATTAGAAAAAATGTAGTGGAATGGCTGGATCCCCGTTTCAAACTGACCACCATGCTCTACGACTGGTCTAAGAAAATAAAAATTGCTCCCTGTGTTTAAATTGATTATCTTGTTAGAACTGCTAAAGCCATTACTTGCAGCTATTTATAGGAGAGGGAGAACTTATTTTTATCCCTTGCAAGTTATCTTGATGACAGATCCTCGGGAGATGGTGAAGCCTTCCCACTATTTTGATAAGATTTAATATAAATCAATGTGAGATTGTAAATGTCAAGTTTAAGTGGCATTATCTGGCTTCACACACACACACACACACACACACACACACACACACACACACCAGCCCAAATAATGTTAAAGTGAATTCCAACTGGCATGTGTGCCTCTAGGCTACTTGGAGACAAAATTCCCCCAGTTTATCTGCACATAATCAAAAACAAAAAGCACAGAGAAAGCTTCCACCCAGTCCACCACTGCTTTTCCTATTTTTCACAAAGCAAGAGCAGAGGCATGAGAACAGAGTATTGACACTGACATCTTCGGTGGCCTCCACTGCCACTAAGCAGTGGGCAGGGTTCCTTAGCTGAGCCAGGGCAGGACGGAGCTTGTTCAGGGCTGGCCAAATTTGCGAAGATGCTTCCTTGGATCAATATCTGCAGATATGCTTATCTCCGCTGAACTGAAACCTCAAGATTACAGCTGGAAGTGCCATGGCTGGCTTTGAACTGACTTGGGCCTGAGCCATGGAAAAGCAGGCAATTATGAATTAATATAATAATATATACACATAAAAATAAGGAACACTCGTCCTGGTTGCTGACATAAATGTGATCAAGGCCTGACTAGAGAGCCTGATTTAATTACAAACATTTATGGAAGGTGAAAAATATGGGGAAAGAAAAAACACACTCTGAGGGAGCCAACCCTCTTCTGATGCTGCTTCTGAGACAAACATAATCTCTGGCAACTGGAAGGTCCTTTTCAGGCACACCAAGGATAGAGCCACCTGTGGGAAAGCAGTGTCACCTTTGACTGTGGCTTTCCCAGAAGAGTGAACCACAAAGGTTGCAGTTCCACCTGAGGTACAGAGGCAAGAGGTGGATCACTGGTGGGAATGGCAGAGACCGGCTGTGGGGGTTCTTCCTTTCAGAGATAACAATACTGGAGAAGGGGGATAATTTTAGACACTGTCACGCTGCTGTACTTTCCCCACTAGAAGACACTTAAACAACTGTAGAAACAAAAACACATTCCCACTGTAGCAGGAGACCCCCCCCCCATTACAATGTAATACACAAGCACCACACACACACCTCCCACCTTCCCCGACCCCGGAGATGCCCCTTTTAGAGGGGCATCCCCTAAAAAGCCTTCCGTAAATAAGGAAGCGCTACTTTGACAGCTCTCCGTACTGGAACCCTTTCGCTATATCAACCCTTCTTCGCCCTATTCTTTTAATGGGTAGTGTCAGGGAACTGACATCAGAGCGGGAGGCGAAGAGGAGGCTCCTAGATGATGCTGGAGAAGGACCCAGCAGCAGGGGGAGAAGCAGCTCAGTGGAGGGGGAAGCATTTAAGCGCAACACCAGGAACAAAAGTGGGCAGATGGGGAAATCGGAGAGAGGGCTCACGGACTCTTCACTGGAACTCAGTGAGGAGGGGACAGGTCCTCCGCTACCTACGCCCTCCCTGCGCAGAAGGCTCCCGCGCAGTGAGAGGAGGCGGAGACTGGGTGTCAAACAACTCTTATGTTGGAAGAGATTCAAGAAACGCCCACTGACGGATTCTGCTAGTGACTGAGACAGTCATGATTAGAAAGGGCTGTGCAGTCAGAAAGGTTTGACAAGGCAAATTAGCCTAGAGAGGCACCAGTTTACGCACGAGTAACTCATACTCATCACAGGTAGGTAGACCAGTTCCCTGAACTCGAGGTCAATCAGCTGCCACTTCAGCCAATCAGCATTATCAAACAGCGCCCCTTGTGGCGGCTACGCAGGTACTACAAGCAACTTCGCACATTTCTCTATACTTTGACAGTTGACAATACAAAGTTTCCGGATTTAATTGACCATGACTAATCTTATCAAAATGTAGCAAGTTACTTCTGGAAGTGAACCTGTCTTTGAACTCCTTTTGACAGTTTTCGTTATAAATTCATTAAAAATCAGCCGTACGTCGGATTTACACCGGACCACTTTTATTTTACTTTATACAACAAGGACTATCAAAGGGGGGTGGCTTGACACTGGTCAGCCATAATCCCTTGAGCGAGAGGACACGTACTCTGCAGCCCTGCCCGGTTGACATGGCAACCTTGTGTTGGGATACTGCCAGGGAGATAAAGTCCATCAAGGCCCCCAAGCCGTCTGCCGGACGATCCATCGACCTCCCGTAGTCACGCAGTATCAACAATTAGCGACATGAGTTTCTCGAAGATTCCAGAGCTCATGCACACTCTTATCAGCAGATAGCACAGCCAAAAGTTGCAATCAGGAGAGCATTATTTACAAGTTTATTCAGTGTTGATCAGAACACAGAAAAACACGACTGCCTGCTTTAGTGTCTGCGACACCAGAGAGAAAACGAAAGCAACAGAAAACATAAACATCCTGTGAACAGGAAATACGCAGACTCTGACTCACAAAGCCTGCTCCCTTTTAAGGTGGAACGGAAATATCCTAACATCCTCCCCCTTTCCGTGT